GCCTGGTGGGAGGGCCTGCAGGTGGGGCCTGATCTCACTTTAAGCTGAGCTGGGGCTGAGCAGAATGGCAAATGCTACTCTCCCGCTGGAGAAGTGAGCTATTCTAAAGAGAGTGAAGCCTTTTTTGAAAGAGTGGTAAAAAAATAAAAAAGGAAGAGTGGCAACAGTGCTGACAACATGATGAGCATCCGGGTATCGAGTGGCTACCCTGTGCTAGACCACGCGGGTACTACACAGGCCATTCCACTAACGTCGCCACGAGCCAGAGGCAGGTGCCATCATTCTTAGCAGAGGCAGCTGAGCACAGGGAGGAGGACTTGCACAAAGCCGGAAAGCTGCAGATGGGGCTCCAAGGGAGAAGCTCAGCCCTTTGTAGCCACTGTGAATAAATGAGGGCATGGAGCGTGGACATTAGAACAGGGTTATGGTCCGATGCGCTGCTACCTGAGCAAATCTGCCAGGGTCTAAGCAACAAGAAGCCAGGGTGGGGCCCAGAGAGGCTTAGTACCCCGGTTGCGGGAGTTAGAAAGAGCAACACATCCTCCCGGAGTGTATTCATTGGAGGAGGATGGAGACCTCCAGAGGCAAGAGAGGGGACAGATCCTGGGGAAAGAGAAAGAGGACCCAGAAGTGCAGACTCACACTCAGCCCGTGGGCTGTAAACCGGAGAGAACAACTGGGCACACCTTGGAGAAAGCAAGGCTCCACATAGCCCAGCCTGGCCTTGCAGGCAAGTGCCAGTGCCTGAACCCACAAAGAAGGCTGGGACTCCAAGAATAGAGTGTCTCTGGACCTTCGTTGTCATCCCGCACACGGGTCCCCAGGTACCTGTCATCTGCTGATTTCCATGGGCCCCAGCTGGTCTCCATGGGGACAGGACCCCCGGATGTTCTCATAAAGCGCCGTGCTCTGCAGGAGGACCAGAGACTTTGGTCATCAGAGCCTCTGCAGCTGGCCATAGAGCCAGCCATTCTTGGCTCCTGCTGTAGACAGGTGTGTGGCCTTCCCTTCCCTTGTGGCAGGATGCAGTGATAGAGGATGCTGGGCAGTGACATCGGGCCCTGTGGGGGCAGGGATGGAGCTGACAACACCTCTCAGGCTGTCCAGGACCCTCACCTCTGGCAGGGCCCTTCTTGGTCCCCCTCTATTGAGATAGGAGGCCCGGAGTGCCCTGCATGCCCTCTGTGGTTCTGTACAGCTGTGCCCTGGTTCTTTCCACAAGCAGCCTGGCACGCAGGAGGCTCCTAATGCATACTTGGTGGGTAAATGAGTGAGGAGGAAGTGAAGGATTCCCTAGTACTGTTACTAAGATGCAACCCATGTAGGCCAGTGTCCCGAGGGCCACTCGGAAGTCTTCCTGCTTCAAACAAGTAGAAAGGTGAGAGAACATGTGGTGAATGTTTAAAGTTTAACAATTTATTACAGTAAACAACACATTGCCATGAATCCCCCTAAAAATCCTGGCCCTGACTTCAAGCACACTTATCTCGTTGTTGCTGCTGTTTTCTGAAGCAGCTCTGGAAGTCCTCTTCCCTGAGCATCTTTATGAGATGGGACCAAGCTCCGGGGAAAGCTGCTGGCCAGAGCGGAGAAAGACTGGCTTGTAGAACACACTGCTCTGTCCTCATCACCTTGTCCACCAGATCCGGCACTGGGAGACTTCTGGCTACTCCCCAAAGTCAAAATGACTGTGAAAGGGGAATGTTTTGAATTGATTCAGGACATGAAGGCAGCCACAACAGCTCAACTGGAGACGCTCGCGAAGCACGCCGGCAGCACGGCTGCGGACGGTGCCAGTGCGGCGGGGTCGTTGCGTGCAGCGAGGGGAGGGCTCCAGGCGGTGTGTCTCACTGTAATAATTTCTTTCAACTTTAAACATTTACCATATTTTTCAATCACAGCTTGTCAATGAGGAGAGAGAGAGAGAGAGAGAGAGAGAGAGAGAGAGAGAGAGAGAGAGGAGGCCCAGGCCGAGGGAGGGAAAGTTAGTGCTTCAGCCTTTCTCTTCCTGACTTTCCCTTTTTACCCATAGATGTTTATTCAGATTTTTAAAATGTGCCTCCTGGACCTTCTTCCTAAGAGGAAGTCAGATGATGAATCGCACCAGAAGATCCTTTCAAAGCAAGAGCACGTAAGTCACCAGCCTGCGCGGCACGGGAGCCTGAGAGGTCCCTGCGGTAGAACACGCGGGCCACCGTGATACGGAAGTATTCTTGCTCTCACGTACAAAAAGGATTCATTGCAGCTTGGATTTTTAATCTGATCAAATGGCATATAAAAGCGTGTGTATGAACATATAAAAATCTGTAATATTTATTTTTTGAGACTATGCAATATTTAAAATGTGTAAAAATATTCAAGGCATGCAGAAGCGATAGGTGCTTGCCATACGCACTGGGGAAAGGCCACCTCTGGAAATGTTATTTCTGCCCAAGTTTGGGGCATTTTTAAGGATAAAATCTGTGCACTGACTCCACCCGCTGCTGCTGCCGTGGCGCCACTCTCCTCAGTCTTCTCTAGAAACTGAGATCATTCCACGTGCAGCCGGACAGGCTTGGAGTCGGGCGGTGCACTGGCGTCCCAGCTCTGTCTTCTGTGCTGGTGCGTACTTGCAACACCTGCTGTTGTGCTCGCCCCAGGGGACTGGGTGTCTACAGATCACGTCCAAATCACTTTTACCCCCACCCGCACGCCTGGCTGCTCCCAGTCCCCAGTCTCCATCCAGACCCCCGGCCACCCGCACAATTCTACCTCCTGTTTCCTATGTCTTTTATTTTGTGCTTTAAAATATTTAAATTTGGGTTTCTTGTAGAAGAGAAACAGAAACCATGCAGCATTTAACCTTCCGAGTCTTATTTATTGCACTTAGCATTATGGCCGGAAGACTCATCCGTTTTTCTACAAGGGACTCAGATTGATCATTCTTGATGACTGGCCAGTACTCCACTGTGTGTATATTTACCACATTTTTTGAATATGTACAGGCTGCTCCCAAAACTTAGCTGTTATAAATCGCACTGCCATAAACATGAGTATCCTTGTCTTTCACAAGCTCTCGAGATCCTAATGCTAGATTGTGATCTGTGACAGCTGTGATCATCCCTGTCACTAATGCCACCACTGTAGTCCCTCCACTGTGACCACCATCATCACTCTCAATGTGTAGTTATCAGCCCTCTCATTACTCTCAACATTGGCTCAGTCACCTCCCCATTGCTGGGACAACGCACCAACCCCCACAACTTACAGGAGAGGTCACCTGGCTCACGGCTCAGAGGGGTGGGTCTGCAGTCAGCCGGTTCCAGAGCGGAAGCAGTGTGGCAGAGGGCCTGGCGGAAGAGAGCTGCTCACCTGAAGGCAGCCAGGACATGAGGAGAACAGGAAGCCAGAGAGCAGGAAGAAGCTGGGCCAACAATACACCCTTCCCAGCCACACCCAGGACCACCCCAGCCAGGCCCAGGTCCTCACAGCGCAGTCAGCGCTGGACTCTTGATGATCAGTCCAGTAGTGAATGTAGCACGTAGGGCCCGTCATCTTCCACAAGCCCCACCTCCGGTCACATGAGACTTTTGGGGACATTGTAGATCTGAAGCATAACAAGGACCGTACTCATCTTCAGCAGCACCCTCCTCTTCCTCCTCCTCAGCAGTCTCCTCAGCCCCACCACTGCCATCATTATCATCTGTCATTGTCATGGTCACTGCCACCCTCATCACCACCGGCTGTGTCATTCCTGTTACTGTTGCCACTACCTTCACTGCCACCATCCATGACACTGGAGCTTGGTAGAAGCTGCTTCTCCAAGCCCCTGGGCTCCCTGGGGCGCTCGCTCGGTCTGTCCCAGGAAGACGGAGCATATCGGCCTCTCGTCTTGAGCTCCACTGCCCTCTTCCTCAGCACCGCCGCCACTGTCCCAACCATCAGGCAGCGTACAGTGCCTGTGTAGGATTCCATCTTCGCCACAGCCCTGTGAACGGCCATTGTGATTTTTATTTAACAGCAAAGAAAACTTATGCTCAATGGGTTTATATGATTTTCCAAGGGTGAAAATGGTACTATCAGTGGTATTTGCAATAATACTAATGATGATGAAATAGTTGTACATGTTCTAATGCCAGGAATAGAGGTGGGGTCTGAAGACACGAGATCAAATCCAATCCCACTTCTACCACTACCTCCAGGGCTCTTTGACTTTGCAGAGCTATTTGATGTTGGGCTCTACTACTAGGCCACATCCCCAGACTCCACCCTTTTTTTTTTTTTTTTAGATTTTGAGACAGGCTGTCACCAAGTTTCCCAGGATAAGCTCAGCTTTGTGGTCTTCCTGTCTCGGCCTCCTGAGTAGCTGGGGTCACAGATGCGTGTGACCGTACCTGCTCAGTGACTTGATCATAGCAGCGGCTACTGTTGTGGAGACAGTCTGGCCAAGTGCTCTAAGCGCATAATTTCATTGCATGCCTTCAACGTTCTTGGAACAGCTAGGAAAGGACAAGAAATGGTAGGGAATGCCAGCGGCTGTCCTCCACGATGCAGAAGCAGCGCAACGCTGTCCCTGCCTGGAAGGCTTAGAACACAGTGTGTGAACCTGCCGCGTTCTAGCTCCCGTCAGGAAAAAGCCGCCCTTTGTCTCTGTAGAGATGCTGGGTGTGTCGGATCCACATATGCCCTCCCTGCAGGTTGGCAGCAGCAGCCTTTGTCCGTGGTATTTTTCCCGATGAAGCCGAGCCCACACCTGCACAGGTCAGGTGACAGTGTGGCCTCGGCTCTGGAGAAGAAACGCCTGCCTCCGGCACAGCATGTTGCGTTGAAGGACTACACAGGGCTCCAGCGTTTCTTCCCAAGTTCAGAATCAGTTGAGAGATAGTCAGTGAGACGACAGAGAAATGTAGCTTTATTACTGATAGCAATAGTTTGGAGCATATGGCTTAAGGCTTAGAAATTATGGAAGCCCTTCTCGTGCCAAATTTCAGAACCAGCTCAGCTTCCCGCCTCATCAGCCATGAAACTGGGCCCCTCAGCCTTCTGCCCTTGGAAGCAGGGCCTTTGCTATACTGCTCACTCTAGGCTGGACCATGCCAAAGCAGTTCTCCTCCTCCTCCTCCTCCTCCCCCTCCTCCTCCTC